AGAGATGACTCCAAGTTCAGCCTCAAGAGTTTATTCTGGCATGGTGGCTCTGTATGGGATGCCTGGTTCAGTTGTGCCTCAAATCAGGTACTCCAAAAATCGCCCAAAACTCATCTCAGATTATAAGCTGAGTAATGTGTTGCTCACTGGTTTTGGTTCCTTTCTGTTTACAGGTGGCTCAGGTTCTGTTGACTCTTCCTTATTCATTCTCTCAAATGGGAATGCTATCAGGAATCATTCTGCAGATCTTTTATGGTCTTGTTGGAAGCTGGACTGCTTATCTCATAAGTTGCCTCTATGTTGAATATAGAACCAGGAAGGAGAAAGAGAATGTCAGCTTCAAGAACCATGTCATACAGGTTAGTCTTCCAAGACCCGCCTTGAAAACTTAAAAACTGAAAACTCACCATTCTATAATGTTATCCTCTTTCCCCTTTTTTTTTTTGGGTTTGGGGGTGGGGGGGCACCTGCAGTGGTTTGAGGTTTTGGATGGGCTACTGGGACCAAAGTGGAAAGCTATTGGATTGGCTTTCAACTGTACTTTTCTGCTCTTTGGTTCTGTTATTCAGCTTATAGCTTGTGCAAGGTATCATTCTCCCATTTTCCTTTCTTCTTCTCCTTCTTTTTCATTCCTCCCCCCCAAAAAAAAAAAAAAAATTGAAGGGATTTGTTTAATTAACCTGATTCATTCCGTTTTTACAGTAACATATACTACATAGATGACAAACTAGACAAGAGGACATGGACATACATCTTTGGAGCTTGCTGTGCCACCACCGTGTTCATACCCTCATTCCACAACTACAGAGTCTGGTCTTTTCTTGGCCTTGGCATGACTACTTACACTGCTTGGTATTTGACCATAGCAGCCATTGTTCATGGCCAGGTAAAAGAAACCTAAAAAACCTTCTTGGATTCCTCTATCTCTCCCCTTTCGTAACACCCATTTTGATTTGAATTTTTCATTTTTCCTTTCTGTTCTCACAGGTTAAAGGGGTAATTCACTCAGGACCCCAAAAGTTGGTTTTGTATTTCACCGGCGCCACCAACATTTTGTACACTTTTGGCGGACATGCTGTCACAGTGTAAGTATGGTGGGAGTTTACACCGAATAAGGTTTATTGCTTTAGTATTATATATAGAGGAAAAAGTTTTGATATTTTGTTTGCGCAATGGATTCAATTGGCAGCCTTTGGTTGCCATTGTCTAGGTTTGAGCACGGAGACAAAATCATGAAATTAAATGCCCACTAAAACACTAGCAAAAGTTACACCATGTTTGGTTTCTTTTGGTTTTAGTCAAAAGTTGCGGTAAATTTTTGCTCCATCACTTTGCTGCAATATCAACTCTGGTAGGTAGATCACTTACCAGCTCTCTTGACTTCCAGGCACCACCTGTTTATTAATTTGTCCAAACCAAGAACCACCTCTGCTTTGAGTCCAGATTCTAACTTTCTTCATTTATTTATTCTAACTTTCTTCATTTATTTATTCTAACTTTCTTCATAGATTTCTAATATTCCAAAAGATCTTTGAAATCAAATTTTAAGATAAATAAATAAAGACTGAGCTCTAGGTTGGACTCATTGAGGTGGGTTTCTTTCACAACAACTGAAGGGGGGGTCCTCTGCTACCTTTTCATGATGTTTTTTTCTCCAACTTTTCCTTTAAAGTTATCTTTAGGAAAATCTGCACCCTTGTAAGGAGGTGGTTCCACCGAGATACTTGTCCTTGCTTACTTTTTTCCAAATTGTGAGGAAGACTAAGCTTTGTATTACTTCTAATGTTTACAGTGAAATTATGCATGCAATGTGGAAACCTCAAAAGTTTAAGTACATATATCTGTATGCCACCCTTTATGTCTTCACCCTCACCCTTCCATCAGCTGTTGCCATGTATTGGGCCTTTGGTGACGAACTCCTTACTCATGCCAATGCCTTTTCACTCCTTCCGCGCACTGGATGGCGTGATGCAGCTGTTATCCTAATGCTAATTCACCAGGTTTGGTCACTATCAGAAGAACCTATTCTCTGCCAATATACCATTATTGAACTAGTGAAATTGACATTGTGAGCCAAATCCAAATCTGCAGTTTATAACATTCGGATTTGCTTGTACGCCATTGTATTTTGTGTGGGAGAAAGTGGTGGGGATGCATGACACAAAGAGCATATTTTTGAGGGCATTGGTTCGACTGCCTGTGGTCATACCGATATGGTTCTTGGCTATCATATTCCCTTTCTTTGGTCCCATCAACTCAGCTGTAGGGGCTCTTCTTGTCAGCTTCACTGTCTATATTATTCCGGCTATGGCTCATATGCTCACTTACAGATCAGCATCTGCCCGACAGGTATATATGCTCTGATCCCTTCACTTCCTATCTTCATTATCTAACAAATCTGCAGCTTAGATACACTCAACATCAGCTTTAAAACAAGAGGTAATCCCTGGTAATCTTGTGTAAGCAGAATGCAGCTGAGAAGCCACCTTTCTTCATCCGAAGCTGGACAGGGATGTATGTAGTAAACAGCTTCGTTGTGATATGGATTCTTGTCGTTGGATTTGGATTGGGAGGGTGGGCTAGCCTGACAAATTTCATCAAGCAAGTCGATACCTTTGGTCTCTTTGCTAAGTGTTACCAATGCCCTCCCCCTGTGGCGGCGAAACATTAATGAGTTCAAACTTAGAAAGATTGGAATCCAAGCTTGCAATTCAGGGGACTTTAGCATCTTTCTCTTTTGTAAATGCCCAAGGAGGAATAAACATGGGTATCTCCTCTATAATATGTGGTATGCGGTATTTTCCATCTTTTGTTCAACCTTTCTATACAGGGTTTTGGATGGTTGTAGTCCCCTGAATGAGTGTGAAAGCAATATATGTATTTTGTCAGGAAAGCAATGTAATAATCGGCAGAAAACAGCATCTTATTGTTCATGAACGTCAGCAAAACCTCAAATCAAGCCTTCACGTGCTCGATAACTCGAATCAAACCCTTTTGAATATGATTCCACACGTATCCAAACCCCGATAAATTAAACTGAAATCAGGAATCTGAATCAAAAGCCAAACTTGCTTGAATTGATCCATAAAGTGCTTTCCTTCATGGATGCTTTTTATATCCATTGGCAGAAGCAAAGATGAGTTGATAGGAACCTGAACTTTACGGAAAGCACTTTTAAGAAAACGTGACTTGAAGAAACAAAGACCACGAGGATCACACAAGCTTTCATTTTCGCCAAATCTTATTTCTTTTTCCCAGAGCTGTGTTCTTTTAATTTTCTCAATGTATCGTCAGTCATATTCACATTCAAACTCTTTATTCGGCTTTCATTGGAGGCACTTCGATCTTTTGAGTTGGAAAACAAAAAATCCATCCTCAAAAGTTTTTCATTCATGGGCGTGCTTTGCAATAGTAAATGTCAATTTGCTGCTTTTTAACTTCCATTTTCTCCTATCCATCCAGCTCATGCCCTTCCCAATTTCATTTGGGTCCAAAAGTCCAACTATGTTTTTGTAGTCTTTCTTTTGGGTGCCCAATTACAGAATTCACTAGCACAGGCGTTTGAATCTTAAAGAAACACCATGTAAACAGTTCAAAAAGAAGAAACAATGTGTAAAACAGTAAAAGTACAAATTATGCATCTTCCACTGTAAAATGGAGAAAACAAAAGTTACAAGGAAACCCCAGTAACAAGGAAACCATTCTTTCTTTGACATTTCTTGCACGTTCAAAACGATACTCTCAACTCTACCTCTTCATTCTCTAGAGAGGCTTCATGGTTAATTTGACAAATTCAGCATCAAAATTGGGCAATTCTTTTTCCATCTTTGCTGCTTCAGTCAGCAGTCGCAGCATTCTCTCTTGCTCTTCCTCTGCCATCTTCTGCACGTTCAAGATGATATTTTTAAGTCTACTCTTCTCCAGTCTATGATCCTCAGCCTTGATCCTCAACTCCTTGATCCTCATTTTGGCCTGCCTGAGGTCCACCATTACATCAGTCAATTCCACCAATCGTCTCCTTAACACAATCACATTGTATCCCATGCCTTGCAAATCCTCCATTGTTTTCCATAGCACCTTGGCTTTGGGCCAGAAATCACGTACCTGCAGGGTGTATAGTTGTTTCACTGTTTCTTCAAAAACTCGATCCAATGCAGATGTCAAGCTCTCTCTTGTTAGCTGAGACAAGTTCCTGAGCTGATAAAAATGTGGGTCTTGGGGTATGCCATCCAGGATTCTTGAAACTACCATCAAAGGCAAATAGGAATCCTTTTCCAGCTCTGCATTTGTAATACAAGATTGAATTGCACGGATTTAGGAAAAACCAGCATTCATTAATTGGCAAACCCGAATGAAAAGCCCAATATACAAAAGAAATATAATCTTACCTGGCAATGTTTTTGTTACAGATGACGATGAAGAGGGTAGTGAAACATTTGGAATCGGAGAATTTATAGAGTCAGAAGAGGAAGACTTGGTTGAAAATGTCGCTAATTGTGTGGAGGTGGGTTCAGCGTTGATTTGGTTCCTTGCTCCTTTTGTTTTCCTCATCCGTTGAGCTGAACCCAAAAATTCAGAAGATTAATCCAAAGGTTTTTTAATCAAGCTTTTGTGACAGTGGAGATATAAAGACATGGTCAAATCTTTACCACGAGATGTAGAAGATGGGGATTTTGAAGAGAAGAGAAATGGTCCTGAGCCTGCCATGGCTGTAAAGAAGAAGATGAAGAAGCATTACTTGGCCTCTCGCTATACATTAGTGCAGAATACAGTACCAAGAAAACTTCTCTTTTGTTACAAATAGAATAGAAAAGGATGGAGAAATAAAGAAACAGACGACTAAATTACCTGTTGATGGAGATGAAGAGGAAGATAAATGTGGTGATGTACCAAAGATAAAGGGTTGTGAGTCTGCAATGGCTGTGAAAACGAAGAAAATCAAGAAGCATTACATGGGTGATGGGTTTCATCCCCTCAAGCTGTACAGAGGAAAAAGCAGGACACTTCACCAATAACAGTTTTCTCTCGTTGATTAAAGAAATGGCCAATTAATGTTATACCTGTCGATGAAGATGAATATGAATGAAAACTGAACATTGAGGGTCGTGAGTCAGCCATGGCTGTGAATGAGAAAGGAGAAGATAAAGATGAATGTAAGTGGGAATGGCAGATGGAAGGTCGTGAATCTGCCATGACAGTCAAAAATAAGAAAGAAATGGACATGGGTCTCACGCCATACGCAAGAATCAATTCAGAAATATACATTACCAAGAACAAGAACACTTCCTTTTGTTACAAATTAGAGAAAACCATGGAGAGATTGAGAAACGGTGAAATGCATTACCTGGCGATGAAGATGAAGACGATGAATCAGCCATGGCTGTCAAGAACAAGGAAGAATGAACATGGGTCATTACCAAGAACACATCTTTTTGTTTCAAAATTAAGAAATGGTGACATGTAATACCTGGTGATGGAGATGATGATGATGATGAAGAGAAGTTGGAGGGTTGTGAATCTGCCATGGCTGTCAAGAACAAGGAAGAATCTAACATGGGTCATTACCAAGAACAAATCTTTTTGTTACAAATTTAAGAAATGGTGAAATGTAATACCTGGTGATGGAGATGAAGACGATAGTGAAGAAAAGATGGAAGGCTTTGAGTCTGCCATAGTTGAAAGGAATGACGAAGGGGTGTGTCTCTCCGGTCAATACAAAATTAGTTGCAGAGGAAATGGGGATAGGGTTTTTAATTGGTAATAAAATCAGCAGTCAACCCGCCGTCAATTCCCCTTCTTGCCTACGTGGCAGTCAGCAGTTGCTTGCCCACGAAGAAACGGAGTCCATGTACCCCCGTGATAAGTTTTTTTTTTTTCTTAATTTTTAATACATTTATTCTTTTATTAACCTCTCGGTTAATAAAATTGAATTTTATTAATTTAAAATTATATTATATTGTATTAAATTAATTTTTTTAATATTTATTTTTTTTATTTCTAAATATTAAATATTAAATATTAAATTAAATTTATTCTATTCAAACTAATAAATTATTCATAATACATCCACCTTTTATAGCTTTGAACTTATGGATACAGAGGCACGAGCTTATGTAACAGGTAAATCCTGTTCAAGTAAGGTTCGTATTTATCTTTTATAGCTGAAACTTTACATTTACATTAAAAATATGGTTTTGATATTAAATTATTTAATAATTATTAATTAAATAATAAAAATAATTTTATTAAATATATTATTATAAATTCGTAACTTAAATTACACTTTTATATAGTTTTACCTGTAAAATATATTTTCTTTTCGTTATTTTAATACGCCTAGTAAAATAGTCTGGCAGCAAAATTGCAAAAATTTATTTTTTCTGCCTTTTGGGTCTCAGTCTCAGGCTATGCATTTCCTTCGCCGGTAATAAGTAGTACTCGGCGAGAGCGAAACAGAGGCAGAAAACCTCGACGAAAGCAACGGCCGGCGAGGGAACGGAAATGGCTCCACGGGGAAGTGTTCAGAAGGTCACAGGCGAAATACTTTCCCCTTTTTCGTTCTACTTCTCTGACCTTTTTTTGCCCCTTTTTTCATCTCTTCCTTACGTATTTTGGGAGGTTTTTTTTTTGGTTCTTCAGCGGGGCTTGAGGCGCATCGACGCTGCATTAGATGCTCTTCGTCCCATGGGTTTCGAAGATAAGGTGGTTCGGAGGACAGTGGCGAACCTCCTCAAGGTAACTCACACATTTCCAGGTGCTAGTCTAGGTGTATGGCTGCATTTTGAAGCGTATTAAAGTTACATTTTGTCTCTGGGAAATTTGGGAACGGAATAATGGGATTTATTACCTAAAGGTTAGAACTTTTCAGGGGGAAACGCTTATGTTACCTCTGGTTAGCTTTCTTACCGTCTGGGTACTGTTTTTTGGATGGATTTTGAAAGCACTGTAAGTTTGTTCTCTAGGGTTTTAGGTAGGGAGCAGATTGTTTGATATTCTCTAGGTTTTGTTTTTGTTTAAGAATTCAAGTTTAAGGGGTTTTCTTTTTGTAATAGGCTTATGGTGGAGATGCTGGATGGATTTTTATCGAAGAGGGTTACTACAAGCTTGTCATTGATACCATTGTTGACGAACAAGATAATGCTGAACCAAAACTTGTGAAAGAAGATTGTTCTCATAAGGTAAATTTTGTTTACTAAAAATTGTTCTATTTTTTATGCCTGTATATAGCTATGTGTGTTCATTTGTTTGATTGCTGAATATTGTAGCTTACTGTTCTGGATGAAGGTGAAGAAAATGTGGGCAATGGAAAGAAACTGACTCTCTGATTGATATTTTATGTGATTTTCCCATGCTTGCTTCTTGTCACTTGTTCTGGCAGCATAAGCATAGTAGATACTATATATGTTAGCACACAAGATGTTTTGCTCTTTGGACTCTAGGTATGGTGATCCTCCCTAGAAAGTATGGCATGGCCTTTCATTTTGAGTCGATACCAAAATTACTGGTCAAGTTGTTATTATTTGTGTTTCAGCATCAATCACGTTAACTAGAAGTTATTATTTACATCTACAAGAAATTTGGAATATGAACTAATTGTTGACTTATGATTTAGTATGTTCTGATTTCTCGTTATGGTTTTTGGACATAATTTATGTCATCTTAAAGGTATTAGGTATATATCCAGTGCCTTTCCTCATTTTCCTTTGAATGTTGTTTATATCAACTCCTTAGATGTGTGTGTCATCTTATTCTGCAATTTCTTCAGAACTGCAGGATGTGCTGTGTAAATCCCATGTTTAACCATTAATGACTTATTTTTGTTGCAATGAAATATTTCTTCTGATAGCTCCTCTGTTTGATAACCTTTATTTTGTGGGAACATGAATTTGCTGTCCAGATACATTTTGCAACATGTTGTGACACTACTTCTCTGGGCTGCTTTTACTTTCCTTGATGCCTGCTTAATTTCTTCCAAGTTCTTTGTGGATTAATGAATATTGCATTTAGAATTTTGTTGGCATTTGTCAACGATATTTTTTTTCCCCAAATAAATGTTACTGATGCCACCATTTACACGGTAACCCCATGCCTTTCAAAGGATGTCAAGGAAGAAGATGCTCAATGTGCAGTCGAAGCTGCCTCCCCACTTTCATTAGTTCTCCCATGTTCTTTTAAGGGTGACATTTCATCGAAGGAGAACCTACTGTCTCCAGAAATCCGTTCTGATTCTAATGTTGTCCCCTCCCCACATGAGAACAGCCCGCCAGCACTAGACAGGATGGAAACACACTCCTCTCTGCAAATATCCTTGGCAGAACCCTGCACCTCAATTGTGCCCTTGGATTCCATCTCTACACAGCGCAAACCATGTTATGGTTGGATTAGCAGTGATGAAGAGGGAGATGTATGCTAAATGTAAGCTGCCAAGCTGCACAAATTCACGTGGTTTTTTGAAGCAAGAAAGGAAAATACTAGGTCTCCAAATAGTTTCAAGGTAGCAATTGTTAGCCAAAGAAAAAATAGCAAGATGGAATGAAACGTTGATGTTCATGTATTTTTTAATGTTATGGTTGGATTAGTTGAACACTTGAACGACAAGCTTACCATACTTAGCTCCTACAAATGATCATGTGATTTCCACTCTCATATATATTCTTCTTCTTCTTCTATTTTTGAAATCATCATATCTGCTTTCAGAAGTTATTTTGACTGAGCAATATTTTTCCATGTAACAAGAATGTATGAGGTGCAAGTCTTCATTTTTATATCAAACCATGACCGAGAATTGGTGTTTTATCCATGCTTTAAAAGTTGAAGATTTTGAGTTAAAAATTTTTAATTCAAAGTTTGAGAAGGATGAGAAGGAATTCAGGAAAAAAATTGAACACAATATCATATTGAGTACGTAAAGAGTAGATTATTTATGTGTTAAACATCAACTACCATGAGCTTATTAAAAAAATTTCGACTTTTTTCCTTATGGTGTGTTGCCAGGTGTAAAAAGTCCAATGCTTTTCTTAAAAAGTTCCAGCTGGTGACCCAGCGCTCCCGTCACATTGATGACAAAACAAAATAGAGCATATCCCTCACCTCAATGGCAGTTACACAGAAGCGGAGGCTAGGAGGAGAAGCAGTCGAGCAGAAGCATAGATGGCGCCGACGGGACGGCCAAGAGGACGCCCAAGAAAGGTGCTTTCTTGCACCCTCTAACCTCCTCTCACATTTTATTTTATCATCTTCTGTTTGTTTTTCTTCAAACGGCTTGTGTTGTTACATTCATTCTGTTGTGTCTGGTTTTCCTCTTTTTTCTCTGTTTGTTATTTTTATTTTACTTTATTTTTTTGATTTACTCTGCAGATGGGTCACACTAGAATGCATGCAGCCTGGAATGCAATGCGGCCCCTTGGATTCACCCAGTACATGGTGGTGAAAACAGCGAAGGAACTCTTGCAAGTGAGATTTTTTTTTTTTTTTCATTTTTTTTCTGCTTTCATTGTTTTTTATGAAAACAAGAAATCTAGGGCTTCTTCTTTCTAATTTTGGGTTGAACAAATGAATTTTTTTTTAGGTGTATGGTGAAGAAGGATGGAAGTTCATTGAGGACGAGGAGAATTCCTATAAGGTTTTGGTTGATGCTATCCTTGAGAAAGTAGAGAAACGGGAAAAAAAGAAGGTAAAAACCTACTAGCTACGCTGCTAAATTCTCTCCATGTTCTAAAAATAGTGGGAAAGTAGCATAAACTAGCTAGCTAGTGATGTTCTCTTGTTTAGTGGATTTGGCTTTGTCATACGCACAAAAACAGGGTGATGTGGGTTTGGGGGGCTATTTCGTTTTCTTTTGATGTTCTTTTTGGTTCTTTAGATTATCTTTCTAGTGTAAAATTTTAGCATTGATGCATAAGTACCCCTAAAGATATTTCGAATCGAGGGCATCTCGATGTTTCATATGGTAATTGGACTTTGTGTGTGGCCAAGGTGTTTTTTTCCGCTTGCATTTTCTTCCTTCAAGTTACTTGATGTTTCATTTCTGCATGATTCCTTATTTTTGCTGATATTCATCTAATGAAAATTTGCTACCAGGATTTCTTCTTTTGATGCTGATTTCAGTTTTTGGTTGTTGTCTGTGTTATGTTCTTTGTAGAGGAAGTCAATAGGATTTATCAAACCTTTGAGGAGTTATACGAAGAGACGACACCTGATCTTTTTAATATCCAAGAAGTTCTAATTTTGGTCTGCCTATTGAATTTTCCTTTTGAAAGTGATACATTTCTATTCTTTCTTCCAGTTAGATGTTACTTTTATTGTCAGCTCAGATTTTTCTGGATGGATGGAGCTTGTGAGTTTATTTGTTTTATTTTATATTTTTATGTAGCTTGTGAGTTGTGAATTAAAGTTGTTACTTTTGTGCTACATCTTGGTTCAATCATAGCAATGAGTTCTATGGAAGCTGTAAGCAGCTAAATATCATTCTTTGTTGCTAAAACCACTAGTTTCAGATTTGCTTGTGCTGCTTGGTGTTATCTTTTTATGGTATGATGATCTTGTGCCTTAGTTTAGCCGCTCATATTTTAAGCATTTACTTGTACAGAGCACATCCATGAGCCATGACACTAATCTGAAGTTCCCAGCATTCACATGATGATCTTCTATAGAACTGTTGTTTTCTGTTCTCAATAGCTATCTTTTTTATTTATTATTTTTTTTAAAGAATGATACAGTACATGCAAGTTCTTCAACCAAATCAGCTGTTGAGGTAGAGAAGACACCTGGAATTGCTTTCCCTGCTGCTTGCTGTGATGATGAAGATGAACCCTTGATTAGTGAGTTGCAGGTAACTGAGACCCCAAACTCTGCAGCACAGACCCCTAAACAACGAGGAGGCAGCGACATGAAACAGAGACGTAGACATTATTACCATGGCTGGATTAGTAATGACTGGAAGGAGGATCTGGTCGAGCTAAAACCAGGACCTCTAGCAGAAAAAGTGGCAAAACTTCTCCTGGAAAATGTTCGTGAAAAGCGCAAGAGATGGGATGTAAAACCTGAAGATATGTAAGGCTAACGCATATGCCATTAGTCTCCCAATCACACTTAAAAGTTTCTTGCAAAACCTCATGTCCATGGCTTTGTTTTGTTTCCAGTCATTATGGTCTGATATTTAGCACCACCTCATATATTATTGAAAGAAAAATGATTTAGCAATTTTGTATATAATTTTAGAAAATTATTGGGTTGATTAAACTGTATTAAATTACATAATAAAAAATATTATATAAAAAATAAATATCTAAATATTAAAAAACCCTTACCTCATTTAATTGTACTTATATATATTGTAATTTGAATTAAAAAATAAATAATTGTACAAATTCTTTTAAAAGAATTATTTTATATAATATTATTTAATAATTAATTCTTTTCCTATCAAATAAAATATGAAATTAAAAGGTGTAGAAATGGGTTAGAAGGCACTGAAATTAAAAAGACTTTTTAATTCCGTCCTAAAAAAATTGAGGTTGATAACGGAGCCCCACTCAATGATCGACGTGTCAACATGTGATTGGTAATTCAAAGGTTCAGGATATCAAAAATATCATTACGCGGGCAGTCGTTGCAACGAACGATGAAACGGATAATTCCTTGTTGCCTATCTCTCTGTCAGTTTTGCCGAAGATAAGACTCCAAAAAATATCTTCACAAATCTAAATTCCCCAAAATTTCTGCTTTCCTTCATATTCTGATTTTCAATGGAATTAGGGTTTCTGTCAAATTAATAAATCAATCCTCCAGTCATTGAAATTGAGTAACAATGAATTTTGCAGTGAGCTTTCGAGGGGATTTCAGTCTCTTGTCTCAGTGCAGCTCTTGTTCTCTTCTCCCGTTTCAGCCATCGTTAGCTCCTTCAACTCCTGCTTGGTCAAGAGGACGGTTTCGGAACTCGAAGTGTCTTCAAGTTTCGAGGTAGAAATCAGTTTTCTCTTTGGGGAACAATTGATTGAGATTGGAGGAGGAGATTAAGGCATGTGATTTATTTCATTTTTTTTGCTGATTGCTATTGACTGATTTTAGAGTTTCACTTTGGTTTTGCAGGAAGAAGGTGGTTGCTTGTAGCGTGACGGAGACACAGACTGAACCAGATGGCAATAACGATAAGGTGCTTCTTTTTTATCAATAAAATTACTAATTCTTCGCCAAAAAAGATGCTGCTTTTTGAATCCTTTGATAGCAAATTATGGGGTTCTGGTGCTCTAGGTATATAATCTTTTCGTGCAATTATGTTAATTGGGATGTAACATTTTGTGGCCTTTGCTGGCAAATTATGGGGTTCTGGTACTCTAGGTATCTAAACTAGTTGTGCAATTATGTTAACTGAGATGTAACATTTTGTGGGATTGTTCCTTTGGTAACATGATGGATGGTTGCACAAAGTGATTCTTTGCGCATTGCTTGTACCTGGTTCATTATAATTTTCTTTTCAAAATAGAGGTGCCTGTTATTGATGGTAGGATTCCACCATATCTTGATGTTTGTAGGAAACAGAAGAGCATGATGATGGAAACTTACAAGCTTCCACCAGTTCCCCTGTGCAAAATGGTAACCAGCTCAATCCTGAACCTGCAATTGTGGATCAAATAAACAATAATGATACAGAAACTAAAGCTCGAGCTGGTGCTCAGGTATTTACTATTTTGTTTTTATTTTTACTAATATTATATGAGAGCAATTTAGCAGTCCGCCATGCACAGACTGCAAATTTTATAACCATTAGTGGAGGGGCAACTTAGGGTGCCTGCCCACATCGCTTTTCTTATAATATATGTGAATTCATGGAATAGTCAATTCCTAGATTACACATTCTTTCTCGTAGGATGATTGTTAAGTGATTTTTCTCCCTAACAGCAATATGGCAAGATTTTGCTTTGATTTGAAGAGAAAGGCATTAGGTTTTTGATTGAAAGCTTATTGCATTAAGCCTGTCTTCAATACAGGAAGGTGATGATGTTGAAGTCACCAGTGGATCACCTCTTCCAGGCCTGAAGGTGTTCATCTGATGCTGTATTATCTCCTGCTTTGAAATTTACAAAATAGTTCTCTTATTCATGTTTCCCCATTTACATCATCTCATAAAACTTCCCTCAACAGCCACAGCAATTGGATGACTCAATGAGGATTTCAAAAGAAACTATTGGCATTCTTAAGGACCAAGTATTTGCATTTGATACTTTTTTTGTGACAAGCCAGGAACCATATGAGGTAAGTGTTTTGTTTTATACTCTTTTTTCTTAATTTACCTTTGTTCGTCAAAACTTATATTTGAAGAGCTAAAGTCAGATATCATTTTATTCCTGGGAATAAGATGAAAGTTATCTGATGATTGAATCTTACAATAGATTTCCATTTTAAATTAGGTCTTCTTTGCAAACTTAAACATTTGGAGTGTCTTCTATAGAAAAATTATATTATTCCCCGGAATAAGACAAAAGCTGGTGTTTTAAGTTTTTCTATTTTCAACCGTGTCTTTTTTTTTTTTTAACAGTCTTGTGTAGGAATCCTGTTACTTACCCATATGATTCTGTTAGGGTGGAGTATTGTTTAAAGGAAACCTGCGAGGACAGGCTGCTAGAAGTTATGAAAAGATGTGCGCTAGGATGGAGGTAGGTCTATCTGTGATTATGCTTCCTCCATTCTACAGGTCGGAGGTAAATGGCTGATTCTTTTCCAATATCTCCTTAATTGATACACAGAACAAATTTGGGGATCAGTATAAGCTTTTCCTTCTAGTCAACCCAGAAGATGATAAGCCAGTGGCAGTTGTTGTTCCAAAAAGGAGCTTGCAACCAGAGACAACCGGTACACATGCTGATTTTTAACAGAAAGGTCTGCCTTTTCAGATTTTGTGGGTGAAGACCCTCTAATTGAAACTTTAAATATTGCAGCTGTCCCTGAGTGGTTTGCAGCTGGTGCTTTTGGACTGGCTACAATTTTTACCCTACTTCTCCGAAATGTGCCTGCATTGCAATCCAACTTATTGTATGTTCTTTTTCATTTTATTCTTAAAACTAAACAGATAGAATTAAAATTGAAGCACTTTCATTATCTCTTAGACTTACCATTGAAGCATTCCAAATTTTTTAGCATGTTGTTAATCTTCTCTACTGCCAATAATACTTTTATGCTCCAGATCATCATTAGACAATCTCAACTTGTTAGTCGATGGTTTACCTGGAGCCCTTGTAACTGCACTTGTTCTTGGAGTACATGAATTTGGCCACATTCTTGTTGCAAAGAGCACAGGAGTCAAACTCGGTGTTCCATATTTCGTTCCAAGTTGGCAGGTGATATATGCAGCTCCACTCCACTAATATTTCAGGAACAACACATTCTTTCTTCCTCAATCTTCTCTTTAGCTCCACCTTACTAATCTTTTAAGGAGAACACATTCTTGCTTCCACTTTTAATCTTCTCTTTGGTAATATCAGATACACTAACATATAGGGAAAGTTTTGTTGTATCTATTAACACCCCCCCCCCCCCCCCCCAAAAAAAAAAATATATATATATTCTACCTTATTCCTTTTAGTAGTAGTATTAGACATCTATTATAGATGTCACTCTTTTCCCATAGGGTAAGAAAAAGTCCAGTAAATAAATACTTTAGTTATGTTGACAGCTGAGTGACTTGCAATGGTCTAGTTGGGTATTTTTTACCAGAGACTACCACCACCAGCATTGAATGAAATATCAAATTATGTAATATGGAATGACTTTTGGGTGGTAAAATTTGTCTTTGAATTACAATAACTAATGAAAGATATACAACTCTATGCCAATTCTTACAGTACTCAGTGGATATGAAAGGCCTATATTTTGTTCATTATTATATATCTACTTTATTCTATGAGGAGAATTATGCAGTAAGTCTAGCGGACTGTTTTGGTGGCAGATAGGCTCTTTTGGTGCCATAACAAGGATCAAAAACATTGTTTCCAAGCGTGAAGACCTCCTGAAGGTTGCAGCAGCTGGACCATTAGCTGGGTTTTCCCTGGGTTTTGTTCTGTTCCTTCTAGGATTCATCTTGCCACCTAGTGATGGTATTGGAGTTGTTGTTGATGGTTCAGTGTTTCATGAGTCATTCCTTGCCGGGGGTATAGGTAAGCCCTCCTGCATGTCGAGACAGCTACAATGTGTTTGCATGTCTGGTTACTAATGGTCTTCCAATGCTTATTGAAGTGTTAGTGACTCAAAATTTATTCTGCTCTGATGTTAATGGTGTTAATAATCTTCATAGACTTGCAGGCACTGGTTTTTTTGAGCGGGCAGCTTAATATTTCTCTTATGCTTAGCTTGTATAAGTTAGATATCATTCTAATTGCAAGCTTTCGTTCATTTTACAGCAAAGCTTCTTCTAGGCGATGCACTCAAGGAAGGTACGCCTATTTCAGTAAACCCACTCGTTATTTGGTCTTGGGCTGGACTCTTGATTAATGCCATCAACAGTATTCCTGCTGGTGAGCTGGATGGTGGGAGGATCTCTTTTGCTATATGGGGAAGAAAGGTATAATAGAATCCAAATTAATTCACTGTTAAGCTAAGCAACGTTTAAGGCCCTCTCTCTCAATTCAATTGGCAACAGACAGATATCTACATGTCCTTTTTCTTCCTTGGAATTACATATCAATGTATAAATTAATCGAGTTTTTAACGTGACAGGCCTCAGCTCGGTTAACAGGTGCCTCTATCGTGCTACTAGGCCTCTCCTCGTTGTTCAATGATGTTGCATTTTACTGGGTAGTTCTCATATTCTTCTTGCAAAGAGGCCCTATTGCTCCACTCTCCGAGGAAATCAGTGATCCAGATGACAAGTATGTTGCCCTTGGAGTTTTAGTTTTGATCTTAGGATTGCTGGTATGCCTACCATATCCGTTTCCTTTTATAGATGAGGTCATTACAGATTTCTAGTAGTTCAAGTTAATTTATACATAATTAGCTCAGAAGAGCAAATGTATCCATTGAAAATCAGTCCTTCATCGAGGGATGGCCATGACAAGCAAATTGGCGTATGAAGTGGCTTCCCTTTGCATGATAACGGATGATATAGAATGTATCATTTTCAGACTGATTGGTTGAAGCTTTTCCTCCTACTTCTCTCTCTCTATATATAGTAAGAATTTATTTACAGATTATATTTATACAAAATCTCAATCATTCATCTCTCTATTTTCAATAATTAAAATTTATTTACATTTATAAAAATAATTATTTTTTAAAGACAAATTGTTGAGATTTTATATGAATATAAAATGTAAATCTTATATGTAAGTAGATCTCTACTATATATAAGTGCATTTTAAGGCCATGACAAGCAAATTGGCGTATGAAGTGGCTTCCCTTTGCATGATAATGGATGATATAGAATGTATCATTTTCAAACTGATTGGTTGAAGCTTTTCCTCCTACCTCTCTCTTTCTCTCTCTATATATATAGTAAAAATTTATTTACATATAAGTGTTATATATTACACTTACACAAAATCTCAATCACTTATTTCTTCACTTTCAATAATTAAAATTCATTTACATTTATAAAAAATAATTATCTTTTAAAAACAAATTGTTGAGATTTTATGTGAATATAGTACGTAAATCTTATGTATAAGTAAATCTTTACTATATATATAAGTGCATTTTAGTCCCAAAAAATAGTCTTAACT